GTTTTGACTTCTTTTTCCTCATCAGTTTGTTCTTCTTTCCCTTTTTTTTCCTCTTCCTCTTCCTCTTTTTCTTCTTTTGAACTATCAACTTTTTCTTTTTCCCTCTCTTCTTCTTGTTTTACATTTAGATCCTCAAAATCATTCAATAAATCATCAAACAAAGCAGCTGAAGTTTTTGTTTTCAATTTGTTTTGATCTTTAACAGCATCTTCGATTTTTGAATCCTTTTCATTTTCCAACTTTTCCTCTTCTTCTTTTTCTTCTTCTTCTTCCTGATCATCCTTTTTATTGAAATTCAAAACAGTATCTTTCAAAGTATCAATCTTTTCGTTATCAGAAACTTCAATAATCTCACTTGAAGAATCTTTCAAAACAGATTCCTTTGATAATACTGGATCTAAAACAGGTCCTAAACTAAAACTTTCATTGCTTAATTTATCACCAAAAAAATTTAAAGTCAAAACATTAGCAGAAGTGTCAGCTTTATTATTTGATTCTGTTGAATCTTCATTGATCTCATGGCTTGCTTTTATTGTTGGATCATCAACTGAAATAACATCAATCTTGGTAAAAAAATCTTTTGTAGAAGGTGTACTCAAAAAAGACACATCCCCGGCAATTTCTTCCTCTTTATCTTCATTTTGTTCTTCTTCTAAATCACTTTTTTCATCTTGAGAATTCATGAAATCTTCTAAATTTTCAATAACATCATCAAGTTCAAGACTTCTTCTTTTCAAGCCTTGAACATGATCAGAACTTTGATTTTCTTGATCTTCTATTCCCATTTATATTATTATTATTTTTAAAAAATTTGTTACAATAAAATTATATGGTATATGTTATTCTAATGGTTTTCTCTCTTTTTTTTTTTTTTAATATTTATTTTTACTTTTTGTTTTTTTTTTGTAAGAACAGCATTTGATATATTTTTTTTAAAAAATATCTTGATAGTATTCTTTTTTTTTACCCGACAAGTGAAAACCCCAAGTGAACAAAAATAGATCGTAGAAGAAGAAAAATTATCACGATTAAACAAGTATAAAAATAATTTATTACTAATTTTGTTTCTTCTTCTTTTTTTTTTTTGTTAATAAATATGTTAAATAAAACTTGTCATTTGCTTAAATGTTTCTTTTTGTTTTGTCTATATATCATAAATAAATACTTCTCTCTCAGTAAATCTTTACTTTTTCTCTTTTTTTTTATATCCTAAGTTATCTAATATATATGTATATTCATGTGTTTCTATTTTTAGTGAGTTTTTTTTTTTTCCTAATCTTAATAATTGAACTCATCACTCGTTTAAAAAAAAAAAAAAAAAGGAACTAATCTTCCATTAAAACATCATTTTCTTCCTCTTCATCAATAATAGATGCAATTCTTTTGGCTGGTGCATAGGTGTAACTACCAATAGCAGCTTCAACATCTTCCTTTGGAATTGAATAGTAAGGACCGTTCTTTTCACTATGAGATAAACCTTCGGTTTCAGAATGGAAGCCACTTTCATCAGAACTTCTTCTTTGAGCAGATTCGCTATCTTTGGACATAGATCTGTTCAATTCTTTCAAGTATTCAGAAGTGTTGTTTCTTTGAATTATTGGTCTAGATGATCTTTCATCAACTTCTTGTGTCTTTTGGTAAGAATCACCTCTTGCAAGATGAGGAATAGATGGTTGGTTTTTAATATCTTCACCTAAAGAGTTTTTAATTTTCTTAATCGGATAAGAGTCAGCAATGTTTGAAGAAGATGCAGATGGAGTGATAAAATCATTATCAATAGGATCAGTAGAATTTACTAAAGAGTTGGAATGGGTAGGAGATAGAGTAAATTCCGCGGGGTTTTTGTGATTTAACATTTTTTGTTTTTGTAACATCTTAAGTCTTTTAGCTTCACTTATCTTGATATCATCTTGAATTGGGTTTAAGTTGATACTATCAGAATCATATTCATCCATCAAACAACCTTCTTTAGCCAAATCTGTGACTTTAGTATAGTAATAAGAATCTTCTTGTTGTTTGTTAGATTCGATATTTTTTGTTGATGGAATTTTGTTTTGAGTCTTTGAAAAAGCAGCAGTAGCTAATTCACTAGCAGAGTTTTCAGGAGATAAGTCATGACCATCCAGTTCATAGTTTCTGACAGATAAACCAATTAAAGAAGGAGTTTTTGTTTTTAAAGCTGATTCTACCATGATGTTGTTATGTTTTTATTTTATTGTACTATTTTATACTAATGTATATATGGTTTGTAATTTGAGTTTAGGGGGTTTTTTAATAAATAAATAATTAGAAAAGCTATATCTTATCGTAATAGAATAATTTAATAAGCTTCTATAAAGAAAGAAAAAAAATGAATAAATAGTTTTTAATTACCTTCAGTTAAAGAATAATTTGTCTTTGGTCTATATATATATTATTTATAAATAGAATCAACAATTGTAAAAATTAAAAGAGACAAAAAATTAAAAATAAAATTTTTTGCATACTTATTATATATTATTCCCCTTTAAAATTTTTTTTTTTTTCTTTCAAATGTCTACAAATTGTGTGATATTACATTTTTTTTTTTTAAAAAAAAAATTTTTTTAATAAATCATCATTTAAACGGCACAATTGGTTGCGTCAAAAAAAAATTTAAAAAAAAAAATATTTATTTATTTATTTTTGATAGTGGCATTTAATTTCCTTTTTGATAAAAAAAAAAAAAAAGATAGAATTTTCCTTTCCCCGCTTATCAATTTTTGTAAACAAACTGCTCAAGTCATGTGATAATTTAATATATTTAATATATTCGGGTAATTACATTCTTTATTAAAATATATCGGATATAAAAATATTTATTTATTTAAAGTTATGTTTAAAATTATATTCGAAACATTTTTATTTTTTAACTTTTTTTTAAATAATAAAAACCAATCGCTCTCTCTCTCTCTCTCTCTCTCTCTCTCTTTTTATTATTAAACAAAATATAAGATGAACTCAGTATATAAAAGACATGATGCTGATGGTGGTAATCAAACAAATACTCATAACTCACATTATGCAAATTTGAGTTATGGTACTTTGATATTTGAAATCATGGGAGTTTATTTAATTGTATTATTTATTTTTAGAAAAATTTATTATTATTTCAATATGTTTAGATCTTCAACAGAAAAAAACAGTAAACTAAATTTAAAACTTAAAAAATTGATTGATAATTTTATAAATTTGAATCCATATCTACATATTCCTTTAATTCTAATAATTTCTTTTGCAGCCAAATTTTTTGATTTTGAAATTACCAAAATGTCAGTTTATTACAAAAAAATTGCTAGACTTTCTTATGTTTTGACTTTTACAAACTTATTTTTAGTCATTCCTAGAAGTAATTACTTTATCTTTATGACATATTTGGATTCTATTAGATTACATGTATGGCTTTCTGTTTTCATTCTTCTTCTCTCAACACTTCACAGTTTTTGTTTTATTATCAAATGGTTGATCTCAGGTATTTTAATTAAAAAATTATTTAAACCTCAAAATTTTATTGGTTTGATAATATTTGTCATCACATTTATATTATTAGCTATATCTTTGACAGATTATAGAAGAAGTCATTATGAAAATTTCTATTTAATTCATCAATTGGGTATGCTTTCATTTATCATATTGACAATATTGCATGCTGACCCTCATGTTTTCACTCCATTTGGTATATTAAACACTGGATTCTTAATTGTTATGGTTATAAACAAGATTATCAATAACAGTGCTGCGGATGGTGATGATCCATTTGTTGTTAAAGAAGTTAAAGATTATGGAAGTTTGAAATTTATTAAATTTACAAACAACAAAATTAATAATTTAGATAATGATTATATGAATGAAGATCCATTACCTTTGAAATTTGTTCCAGGTTCTCATTTAAGATTACATGAATCAAATATTTTGAACTGGAAATACTGGTTAAAACCTTCCCATCCATACACTTTAGTAAGCAGCAATGAATTAATATTGAAAAAAAATGAGTTCAGTAACTTTAATAATGTTTTCAAGCCAAATACACCTTTGAACCTTGTTGGATTATTTAATTCTAATGAATCTATTGAATGTATGCTTAAAGAAACTGAGAGAAAAAGAGTCAGTATTGTCACTGGAGGAAGTGGTATTTCTTTTGCACTACCAATTCTAAGAACACTTTTAATTATAAATCAAAAGAAAGATAAGGATGCTGATTTAATTTCTTTATATTGGAGTATAAGAAATTTTGAAGATGCTTTCATTATAGTCGATTTCTTGGAAAATTTGATTGATTCTGAAGCTATAGGTGTTCCCCAATTCTTTTTAAAAATTAATGTTACAGGAAATGAGGACCAAATTAAAGAGGAACAAAAAGAAATTTTGAAAACTCAATTAAATCAATATAAAGGATCTTTAGAATTTGATATTGAATATAATAATAGATTTGTAGTATCATCGATTGCTCCAGAAGAAGAATTTGTATCATACTCAGCTGATTTCAAAGAATGGGTTATATGTTGTGGTCCATCAGTTATGATTAGTGATTGTAAACAATTTGTAGATGCTACTAATTACAAGATTTACAGTGATTCAGTTAACAGCAGAAATTATATTGAGTTTATAAGTGAAATTTATGAATTTTAAATGTCACTTTATTTATTATAATAAAAGAAAGAAGAAGAAGAAACAATGTATTTATATATTTATTTATTTAAAAAAAGAAAAAGTTTTTTCTTACTTTTTTTTTTCCTAACTATCTATTCAAGTTCTAATATTATAAATAAATATATATATATATATAGTTACTTAAATATAATTTAATTAATAGAAACGTGACCGCATAGGTCTATTTTTGCTATCGTTTTTCCAAAAAAAAATATCAAGAAAAATTTAATATGGTTTCGTGGTCTAGTAGGTTATGGCATCTGCTTAACACGCAGAACGTCCCCAGTTCGATCCTGGGCGAAATCACTTGTTGTTTTCTTTCTTTTAACTAAAGCGGTGTAGCGCAGTGGAAGCGTAGTGGGCTCATAACCCATTGGTCGGTGGATCGAAACCACCCACCGCTATTATTTTTTTGCTTCTTTACTAGATATTTTTTTTGTTGTAACAAAATTATATGGTTTTTTTTTTTTTTTTTTTTTTATTGATAAGAATATATACAATCAAAAGAAAAAGTTAATCAAAAACCATTTTAAATATATATATATTTTTTTTTTTGCTCTTTTTTTATATATATAAATGACTATTTTTAATGATAAATATGGTGATTGTTTAGTCACTACTAATGGTATGTTTATTATTGACAAGATTGTTAATAAAACTAAAAATACTATAGATTTGGATGTTCCTGGTGGAGGTGGTCTTTTCTCTACTTTAGGATCATCTATCGTTGCTACTTCTAAAAACAATATTCTTCAAGACAAATCTCCTGATCTTTCTAAAAGAATCAAATTTATTATTGATTGTGGAAGTGATTTTCCAGATGATGGTATAAAGCCTTTGATTGATCCATGGAATGCAGGTATAGTTTATAGATATGATAAAAACAGATTAACAACTAGAGGATATAATGAGTATGATGGTGATTATAGATTGTTTCGTTATGAAACTCCAAAATTACAAATTGTTGCTGAAGATATAATAAATTTAGGTGAAAAAGAAATAGGAATGATTCATTTGATTTGTTCTCCTAAAAGATGTAAGGAGATTATTGAAGGTTTGAAAATTAATGATCAAGGCTTATATAAGTGTTACAATTATGTATGGGAACCTACACCAGATCTTTGTAAACTGGAATACTTACCTGACATTTTGAAAATATTACAATATTATAAAAAAGAAAAAGGGTTTAATATTGTATTTTCACCAAACAGTGAAGAATTTCTTCAATTAATTAAAGGGGGTGAGTTAATCCTTGATCCTACTTTAGAATTGATAAAGGAAATTTTTCTTGCTAACTATGAAAAATTATCAACTGACAATGAACACAAATTTGTTATAAGATGTGGAAAATTGGGATGTTTATTTTTCAATGATAAAGAAAACAACTTTACTCAGTATCCAGCATATCATGACAAAAATTCTAAAAACAAAATTGTTGATGCTACTGGATGTGGAAACTCCTTTATTGGAGCATTTGCTACAACTTTGATATTGACAGGTTTCAATTATGATGCAGCATGTGTATTTGGTAATATCGCAAGTGGTATAGTTTTAGAACAAAAAGGTTTTCCTAAATTTGATAAAAATGTTGAAGGTATACCTACTTGGAATGGAACCACTTTTGATGAACGTTTAAGTATTTATGAGAGAAAATTATAAATATTATTTAAATTTTGCAAGTTCTTCTTTCAATTTCAAGACCTTATCTTGGATTTTTTGTAAATCATCTTGTTCTGTCAAGTTGAATACTTCCTGAACATTAGATCTTTGTTTAACATAATCATGTACGGCTAAAGTGATGATAGATTCCTCTGTCATTCTACTTGAAGGTAAAGATTGATTAGTATTTTCTGACATGTTAAGTATATATGTTTATTTACTGTTTTGCAAAAAAGCAAACAAAGACTTTTATTATAAGTACTATTATTTACAGATTATGGTTTATAGGGTGTTTTTTTCTAAAAAAATTTGAATTTTTTTATCTTTTTTTTTGTTTGCAAACGAAAGTTCCAATTTATATATATTTTTTTTTTCTCCTCTTTTTTTTTTTTTTTTTTACTTTATTAAAAGGTGAGGTGTAAATTTTTTCCATCCATATATACTTTTTATACACATATTTGTACATATGTTAACCAATGACTACTAATACAGCATCAATAGAATCTTTAGATAAACTTATAGGTACAACCCTTACAATCACTATAAAGCCTGTGGAAAAACATTACACATACAGGAAACTCACAGGAATTTTAACGGCTAGTGATACATCTTTGAATCTCCTGCTAGATCAAACTATAGAAAATATAAATTATGAAGGAGAACCGTCTGTAACAGAGAGACGACTTGGAATGATAGCTGTTCCATATGATACAATTGAAAAAGTGGAAATATCATCAAGAGAATATGAAAAGCTTTAAAAAGAAGAAGAAAAATAGATTAAAAATTGTTGTTTTTTTTTTTTTTGATTGTTTTTATATACACAAGTCATTCTACTTATCCTAGCAATAGCATGAACTTATCATTAATTTAGTTTAACCATTTTTTTTTTTATAACTGTCATTTTGTATCAAATTACGTTAACAAATTCTTCTTTAGTTTGTTCTTGTGAATCTTTTAGGGAAGAATTGGAAATATCTGATAGCAATTCTTCTGTATGTTGTTTTTGAGTACTACTTGGCAAGTCTTTTAATATATGAACAATATAATCCTTTTCTTGTTTCAAATTCATATCTTGTAAATTGCAAAAATGTATCTCAAAAAACTTTAAAAGTTTTTCTTTATTTCTAATTAAAATATCACATATTGGTTTATTTTTATTTGGATTTGCAACAAATACTTTAAATAAATGAAAAGTTTCTATTTGTAAATTTTTAGTTTTTTCATTAAGAAGGATCATAATAATTTTCAAATTATCAGTATTGCTAATATAAGTTGTCATTAATTGATTAAATGCTCTTCCTAAAATCATTGTAGATAATAATTTAACACCTTGTCTCTTAGTAACATAATTCCCATGTTTCAATAATTCATTGGTCTTTTTGATAAATTTATTCAAATTATTTTTATTATTAAAAAATTCATTACTAATCAATTTGGGATTTTTCAAAAAAATTAAATTAATGATTTGAAAAGATTCTGTAGATATTTCAAATGATGGCAGAAGACAATTAGAAAATAATTTCCAAATGATATCTGTTGTGGAATTCAGGTTTAATACAACTCTGGATAATTGCTCAAAGTTTAAGCATTCTTCTAAAATAGAACCAATAACAAGATATATCTCTACATTATTACTAAAGCTTTGAGTAGTGTTTTCCAAAATTGTTAATAAAAGATTCATTGTTTCAGTTTTAGAACTCATATAATCAACATACACAAATTTGTTATCTATACATTTACCAAAACCATTGGTGAATATGATACTGATATTTTTTCTACTTTCAAAATCTAAAATAGGAAATTTCAAAAGTAATTTGTTTAAAAGACCATTTTTGAAAAAAAGATCTTGAATGTTGGCTGCATTAGAACTTCCTGGAGAAAAAGAAGAGGAGGAGGAAGAGTATTTACCTGACTCACCAGAGATTGAAGATAAAGCTATGTTGCTGTTGTTTGAGTTGTTATGTTTTCCTGTCAATGAAGGGTTGGCACCATTATTACTACTTCCAACACCATTATTTGATAAGTTGTTTATATGATTATTGTCTTTATTATTGTCACTATTATTTTTACCAGAAGATTCATGAGTATTATTGGAAAAATCTTTTTTTGAACCATTTTCATTAAAAGAATTCCCATTATCATCTAAGAGTAATCGTTTCAATTCTGATAAACATTTAGAAACTTCCTCAATATGATTATAAACATTTTCAGTATTAGTTTCTTTATTTATTCCAATTGCTAAGACAGCATTATTAGAATTTAATGTTGCTGCTATAATAGGAGAATTGTTTGCTGTTACTATATTTATGTTATTGCTTTCAGACTCAAACGAGTTACCATTAAAAGAACTGCTTAATATTATACTATTGTCTAGTTTATTTAATTGTTCAGTTAATTTATCTAAAAATTCCAAACTTGTTTTAATCTGTTGTTGGTTTGATTGGTTATGTGTTTTTTTACCCCAAAATGACATTTTTCTATTGCTATTATGATTGATGGTTTATTCAAGAAATATATATATATATATTTGAATTAAGAAATATGTTGACTGAATGTTTATAGTTTTTATTTTTTCTTTCTGCTTTAATTAATTTTTATTAAAAAAAATTTTTGAAGTATAAATTTAAGTAATTATTAACATTAAAAACGTTTGTGTAAAACTTTTTAATAATAAATATTTTTAAATAAATTTGTATAAGGACAAAAAAGAGTTTTGTTTTATCGATGTTTTAAAAATCACAAAAAAAAATTATTATTAAATTTGTTTTTTTTTTTGGCAGATAATCATGTGATTAAATTGTTATCATCTCATGATATTTTTACCCTGCTGACTTTTTCTTTTTTTATCTTTCTTTTATCTTAGCTTTTTCTCCCTTTCAACTTTTTTTTTTTTTTATTAGTCCACCCTCTCTTAAAATCACCTAATTATAAATTATATTTAAGAAAAGGGAAAACGTTTATACTTTTTTAAAATTTAATAAAGCATCAAATTAAAACCAAATAAATATTTCTTTTTTTATTTTCTTTGTGAGTTAAATATTTAAAAATATAATAGAACAATAAATTGAAATTACCTATTCATTTTTTCTCTACAGATTGTTGATAATATAAATTACATAAAGATATACAAATAATTAATTTTTCTTTTTCTTTTAATTTTTTTTTATATTATTATTTAAATTGCAATGATAACTTATTCTCAGAACTCATATACTTCATCTTCTAATAATGATAGTGAAAATATTAAAAGTAAAGGATCAGAACTGAGCTTAGACACAATTAAAAGAATTGAAAAGGATTTGAAACAATTATACAAAACTAAAAAATTCAAAGTCATCATTCCTAATGAGTCAGAATTAAATGTAATTCAAATTCAATTTAAGGGACCTAAAGATTCTGTTTATGAAAAATCTTATTTCAGATTAAGAGTTGAAATACCTGATGGTTATCCTTATAAATCTCCCTCTGTTTGTTTTATGAATAAAATTTATCATCCAAATGTAGAGAAAACTTCTGGATCCATATGTTTAGATGTTTTGAATACTAAATGGAGTCCCTTGTATGAATTGAAAAATATTGTTGAATGGATGGTTCCAGGTCTTCTGAAAGAACCAAATCCTGATGATCCTTTCAATACTGAGGCTGCTAGTCTTTATGAAAATGATATTGATGAGTATAATGAAAAAGTTCAACAAGTTATGCGGTTAAATTCATTCAAAGGTCCTTACAGAGAGAAGTTTTATCC